GTGGGGCACGGCTGCTGCCCCGCGGTGGCTGGCCTGCTGTCCTCACCTCGTACCCCCCCAGCTTGAGTGTGACAGTGACGTCGATGGGGTGGTTCACAACGCCCACCACGGAGCGCACCAGCGACATGAAGAGCAGCGGGAACCAGATGATGGCCACGAGGAAGAGGATGATGAGGCCCCCCATGCCATACTTCACAATCTTCTTTTTCTTCTGCCCTTTGGGCTGTGGATATTTCTGCAGGGAGATAGTGCACTCAGCACGGTGCCAGGCTTGGGGCACCTAGCCAGGGACACCCCAATGACAACAAGCTCATTGGGGACCTTTCACAGGCTAGGCAGAACCTGGGGAGGTTTTGGGGGGTGTCAGAGCAAACTGGCAATTGGTAGCGATGTGGGGGACCCCCCCAACTGCTTCCTAACTCCGTACCTCAGCCCCAGCTTCCCCTGGCTCTGCCCATGCCCCTGAGCCCAGGACCAGGACCACCAAGAGGCTCCAATTCCAGGGCTGAGCCATGATCCCGCTCCTCTTGCCATGCAGCTCAGTTGGGCAAGGAGAGAGGAGTCCCCATAGCCCACCCTGGCAGCCCAGGCCTGGCCTGCATGGCCAGCTAGCCCAGGGCTCACTACTGGGGGCCCCGACTTAGGTGGCATGGGGGACATATGGGAGCAGGGGACAGGCAAGGTAATGCTAAGGTCCCACCTTCTCCGTCTCGCGGCTGCACTTGATGATGAAGATGTTGGCGTAGATGTCTTCCACACACATCCAGTTGGACAGGGACAGTGTGGTGTCGGTCCAGACCCAGTCCATAACAGCCCGCAGCTCCACCAGGAAGGGCACGAGGCGAAACCTGCCAGGCACAGGGAGAGGGGCTGGTACCGCACTGTCTGCCCTACCCCATCAGCTGCCCTGTGGCCAAGACAGTCCCTGCGCACCCAATGGGAGATATGGGGCAGCTCAGCCCCATGCCACCCCCCTGCCCTGTGCCTGCTGCCCCATACCCTTGGAAGAGGAAGAGGTTGAGGTGGTTGTATTTCTTGGTGAGGAAGTTGCCCAGGATACGGGTAGGGTAGCCGCAACGGATCTGGTAGGCTGACAGTGAGAAGTAGATGCACTTCACGAAGTACCACAGCTGGGCCACTGTGTTGAGGCTGAACAACCTGCAGGCACCACGGAAGGGACCTGTAACTCCTCTGGCTGCCTGATCCCCCCTATCTGGGCCACCAGGCCACCATGCGGGGCCGGTAGCTCCTGGCAGCACCAGGGGCTGGTGACACAAAGGCAGCGAGCAAGTGCCATGGGGCCTCAGCTCTGGGAGCCCCCAGGCACCCTCAGCACCACTGTGGGCCACCCAAGGAGCATCCCACGCCCCCAGCTAGGCATTCCCAGTGGATGCTTGGCAGCGCCAGTGAAAGGGCACGGCCGGGCTGGTACCTTTCGGTGACAGCCGGCAGGATAAAAAACATCCAGAGGTGGATGCTGAAGACCAGGATGACCTGGAAGATGAGCTTGCCCAGCACGGTCTTGCGGAGGTAGAGCGCGCGGTCGATCACCATGGTGGTGAACTGTATGAGCAGCATGACCAGGAAGGCCTCCGGCACCTGGTCATCCGACAGCGAGGACGTGATGTCGGCGGCTGCCGAGTGTTTCTGGGGACACAGGAGACGTGAGAATGGGGCCCAGCCTGACCTCATGCCCACCCCAGAGCTGGCTGAAAGGGTTTGCGGGCACCCCACAGAAACGCCTGTGGCCCTGCTCACCCCGAAGGCCCAGAAGCCAAAGATGATGATGATGAAGTCAACCACGTCGGCCAAGAACATGAAAGCATAGACATCAGTGGCAGCCCGGTACTGGGTGTGCAGGATGTCCCAGAAGAAGCTGCGCACGGGCTGGTACATGTTCTGCGCCCTGGAAGGGACAGAGGGGACACGCATCCTGCAGGCTGTATGCCACAGCCCCCTACCCTGGCCAGCACCGCGGGACACTCACTTAGTGAGGAAGAAGAGCTTGACCCGGAGCCCAAAAGCCTTCAGCTTCTCCTGAGAGCGACTCTGCTTCGTCTCTTCCTCCTCTTCCTCCTCCTCCCCAGCATCGCCTGCAGGTGAGATACAGCATGGGTATCAGCCCAGGGGAAGTAGAGCCAGTGCACGCGGGACCTCATCCTGCCTGGCCCCAGCACTGCTCCACCCTGGGGGACATGAGCCCTGGCCCTGGCCAGGGTGCTCAGCACCCTCCAGGGTGCAGTAGGTGAGAAACGCCATTCACCTTCCTCCACAGCCTCCTCCTGCTTCTTGCTCCAGCGCTTCTTCTTCCTCCTGAAGCGGAGGTGACTGCCACCAGCCCTGGTGCCTTCATCCTGCCCCACGGCATCGTCCTTCTGCTCCGGCTTCGCTGCTGCTCCTGGTACCCCCAGTTCT